AAAGAGAAGAAAAAAAGTTGTGGGACAAGAGAAGATTCACAGAAATGACAGCAAAAGGTCCTGAAGACAGTTTGGACAAAATGTTTCAGGAAACAAGAAGATAAGAGAAAAAAGGGTATTGGAAGGATGTGCATGTATGAAGCAGCTATTGTGGAGAGAGAGAGCTGAGTTAGGATTTGCGCCCTGAATACAACGCTGTCATATTCAAGGACAGATGGACACACATGAGGTGTCTGAGGCAACCTTGTACAAGTAGCACAAAGGAGCTTTGTGCAAAGGATTTCTGCTGGAAGGGAGCATTAATACCAGTGGGACATGGCAAGGATGACAGAATCGTTGAATAGCTTTGATTGGGACCTTGGCGGTCATCTGGTCTAACCCCCTGCTCAGAGCAGGGAAAGAAAATAATACATAGGAGATGAAAAATTCCCTTGCACCTTAACAGAAAGTTAAGCCTTAGCTACACACCAGCAATGCATAACCAAAGTCAAACCTTCCCTTGCTTCTCTGTGGTTGATGTTCCCCTCTGGAAGCAATGCTCATTTTACAGATTACTGGAATGGCTACTATAACTGCCCTGGATTCTTTGCATGGAGCACAGAGGTTTTTTGCATCTCAAAAGCAGGCAAAAGACACACATGACAATCAACCTGTAGCTTGCTCTGAACACGCATGCACATCTGATGCACAGTTGATGCCAGCACAAAACAAAGATAGGAGAAATATTTCTCATGCAAACTGGGTTGGTGGTTAATCAAGTGAATCGTACCTTTTAGAGAGGTATCCTAGCAACTCCCCAGCAGCCGCAAGTCCCGGCTGACAGTGCACACTGATGCAATTGTTCTCCTCCTGCAGACATCAAAACTTTGCAGCTAATCAAAGAGATAATTCGAAACAGGAGACCACGTTAAATTTGATCCAACAAAAGGGAATTTTATAAATGAGCAATGTCACCCGGGGCATCACTTATGCTTAAAGTTGTCATCTCGGAACAAGAGTAGGTCAGGCTTAGCGAAGCCATGCAACTCTGAGAACAAAACATCCCTTCCTGCAATTGGCAGCACAATTTTCCTGAAGGCACTTGCTTCTGCCATGTGGATTTTTGCTGGTCTCCGCTTTAAAGCACTATGCAGAATTTATTACTATTTTCTTGAATAGCAAAGGCTCACCCAAAGCACTCCCTAAAGCACCAGTATCAGCAAAAGTCCTGCTGATGCTCTCATAGCCATTTGACCCAAGATGTTTCCCTGAGAAAATTCCTACTCCTAACATGCCCAATCAGATATTCTTTCACACCTTCTGACAGTGCAAATAGGCTCTGGGCTAGCTGGATTAGACCTTCTGTCTCAGGGCCAGCAATGAATCTGAGGCTACCAAGTAGCCTAAGCACATCCTCTCCAAGCATCCCCATTTTGGAAGCATTACAAATTTGCAATTCACCTCTTTAGGCATGTATGCAATAGGCTAAGCAAAATCAGAAACACAGGACTAGGGTTCTAAAAAATAACTTTTTTTTTTTTTTTAAACCTTTTAGCTAGCCCAAAGATACCTCAGATCTGAGAAAAATATTCAACATGTTTTCTTACCTCTGTAGTGTTCTTCAGGCTTCAGGTCAGAGTTGTGAAAGGCATCCAAAGTTCTTCTACAGCTTACATCCCTTTTCCTGGATTACAGAATATCTACTATGTCCCCCCCACCCTCCGCCATTCATCTCCTCTCTCAAAGAGAAAAACCTTTATTCTTCTTCTTAAACTTCCTGTTTTCTCTATCAGGTGAGCCCTGACACCCAACCACCTTCATCAGATGCTCCTCAGATACTTTTGTTTAATGACCACTCTCCTGGGGATCAGAACAGGAAGACCAGTTTGCCCGGGGCAGTAATCATCTCCCTAAACATTCCACAAAAATAGTTAATGAAGCTTTAATGATCTTTTCTTGTTAGAATGGAGAAATTTCTCCCATCACCTTTGGTGACTCAGAAGGAAAGCAAGACACAACAGGTCTAGCAGCCACACGATCTGAATGCCTAACAAAGAGAATCCACAACTGGACATAAACATCAAATCACACACAAATCGTCATCAAAGCATTTGTGACCTACTTTTTACCGCAAAAGATGGATTCTGCCACCACCAAAAGCAACAGGCAGACTACCTGGATACAGTAGTTGAGACCAGGGGTCAAGAGGACTCCAGGGGATCAACGTGCCCAATGTCCTGTACAGTCCACAGACCCTTTTAAGACCTTGCAAAAGTTGCTTCCAGCCAGTAGAAAACTGTTACTCAGCAGCAGAAATACTGCTTACAGATGTTAGAAGTACCCAAAGCTTTCCCCCCACAAACAGAAGATTTCCTCTCAAAGCGCTGGCTTTATACATTTTAACTGTAATGGTATTTGCATACAAGTAATTCAAACTGGAAAGTGTAGCAAGAAAAGAGAACAAGCTGTAGAGATAAGAGAGCAATGAGGGGAAAAGGGAAACTATACCTGTGATATTGTTCCCGGCTGATTAATTTATTTTCACCTTCCTAACGCAAATACACCTCTTTTTTTTTTTTGTGCAAATCACTGGAGTGTTTGCTTCAGGAAGAGTCTGGTAACAGGACTTAAATGTTAGTGAATTTAAGAAGGGGCTGATAACATGAAGCAGCTTAAGAACTATACATTTGTAATTGAAACAGCAGGGCACATCAGTTCAGCATGACAGTTAGAATTTGCCAGATGTTAATGGGTTGACTTGCAAAGAAACAAAAAACAACCCTCCACACGCTGTATGATCCTTAATAATCGCAGCAGCTACATCCTTGTTTTACGCCTTCAGAATCCTCAACCACAGGAAAGAAAAATAAACAACCCACCCCAGCAGTATCTTCAGGAGCAAAGCGCCACCTTCTAGAAGGGCAGCCGTCCTCCACAACTGGGACAAGAAAGTTAAGACAAATAACCATCCACTCACAAACACTCACAGTGTTAACCCACAGACATCTCCCACCTCTTACAACACAGAAGTCATTGCAGAAGAGTCATCCCCCAAAGATGTCATTGTGGAAGAGTAACACAGACAGTTAAATTCACTGTTACTGATCAGGATTGTCCTGATATTCTCACCACTGGCAAGCAAAATGAACCAGCTAAATTCTGTAATATTATAATTAATATAATTGGGACTGTAAGCAAGCAGGTGAACATGAGTTGCTCTTCACTACAGGGTGCCTAGTGAGAACAGTCCCCCACACTGGGTCCGGATCTGTGACTAATTCTCTTTGGTCTGGATCTGCGACTAATTTTCTTTCTGAATGAGGAAGCAAGCAAAGTTATTGCTTGATGCAGACACCAGCCTTTCTTTTCAGAAGAGCCATTGTGTTCAGCAAAATCTTGACTCAAAGCATCTTGTAATTATGAGAATTCTCTGGTTTTAGTAGGTTTTCAATCAGGCTCATACAGAGCATATCAGAGAGGCTTTTCAAAATCTGTTGTTCTAGTAAGGAATGACCTTCAGCTTATTTTCTGGAATGCCTCTGCTAAATCCTTCATTGCCTACCTTTCTAATTTGTGTACATGGCACCATGCAGTGAATAACATCACTAGCAATGTTGCTACCAACCCTCCCTCCCTCCCTACCAGTAACATGATATAAAAAGTCAGAACTTTGTGTTAAAGATGATCTACACACAAAAATTTTACTCATCTCTTTTAACAAAACCATTTTGTTAAAAAATGACTTAGTAATGATTGGAATTTTACATAGAAAATTCAGAAATTACAAAAAATGGCATTATATAATAAATACAACCTGAATATATGAGAAGAGTTAGACAAATTTGGTAGTAAGTCTACAGAAAACCTGTGCAGAAGAAAGATCAGCTGTTCCTGAGTTAATTGTGTTTCTGTTGATATTATTCTGAGATAACATGATTGCAGCGTAGAATACTCTTCTTCTACCTGAGCCTTTGTGCTAGGCACCTCTCTTCTATCCATTTCGTGACACTGATGTTACATGTGCCTTCTCCTGACACAGTTAAGAGGCTCTCCAAACACCTGAGAAAGAAAATATCTGATGCCTAGAAGTACTCCAGATGAAAAGCAATGTACTGTGAGCAGTCCACAGGTAAAAAAACCCCAACACTTCCTATGCTGGCTAGCCAGAGATGTACAACAAGTAACTGCCCTGAATGCCAGGGCTGCCACGTAGAAGCTTGTTGCCTTCTTAGTCAACTCATTCTGCAATAAGCTATCATGCTCCCTTGTGAGAAGTAGAATTTTACTTGGCATACCATCAGTGTCAAAAATGTGGACAGCAATAGCAAGAGAGAGAGGGTGAGAGCAAGCAAAGTGGTGGGGAGAGAGAGAAGGATGAGGGGGAAGAGAGCAAGTGCACAAGAGCACAAGAGCGAGAGGGAGCACGAAGGGGGTGTGAGAAAGGAGAGGGCGCAGGTGGGTGTAAGCCTCTGCAAGTCCTTCCATTCCTATGGCATCCCTACCAGCTCTGCGCCACTGAGCCTCCCAGCCCCAGAGCCACAGCTGCACGAGTCAGATGGTGCCATGTGGCAACAGCGAGAGTCGGTCTGGAGCCCAAGCTGGGGCAAAAGCGCCTCCTCTAATTGACTGAAGTGGCCATCCAGCACCTATCTCATCTATCAAAGTCCCTCAGGACACCTTCCCTGTCTTTCTGCCAAGAGGGTCACTGCCATATCTCCAAGGTCTGTATTTGGATATTACATTTTAGAAGAAATCTCCTGCATATAGGTTAGGCTGTTCTATCAAAGTGCATCTTTCCTCTATACATATACCCACTTATATCAATTGTTCCTTCATAAGGCTTTACAATATATCTGAAATGTTTCAAATCTGTATCTAATAAATATTACATGAAAATATTTTTTTTTGTATTTACATATGAAACATAAAAATACGATCATTGCAAGATTACTTCTTCTATTTCATCTTCTAATGAACCAAGGGTCTTAACTCCTGGCTTGCTTGTAGTGTGTTGCAAACGATGTCTGTTTAGGTTTCTTCCTTCACCGAAAAGCTCACCGTCTTCTTTTACTTTGACTTTACTGTTTTTATCAACAAGAAGAGTATTACTAGAGTCCCAATCTATGTCAAAAGGTGTTGTATCATTATTTTTAGCAAGAAGGATGGTACTGGCACTGCTTCCGAAGAGTTGTTCCATTAAATTGGACTTCTTTTCTTTCTTACTATTGAAATCTGCATTCTCCTTAACGCTTTCTTCTAAGTTGTCACTTTTTTGAGTAAGCCAGCTTGGTCTCCCTGATCCTTTCCCAAAGGAAGGCACGTAACTACCAAATGTTAACTCACTACTTAAATCTACGGTCCTTAGATTTCGTTGCTTCTGCCCTTGCGCTCTTGTGGCATCATCCTGGCTGTCATCTACAAGAAATCCATTAGTAACCTTCCCGGGAATCTCAAAGAATTGATTAGTTTTTTCTTTTTTCTCCAGGGAATTAGATTTTCTTGCTGTATTTATGAGTAGTGCTTGGGAAGCAGGTTTCACGTTTGTTACATTTTGAGTTTCTCTATCAATTTCTTGCATTTTAGCAAGCAGGAACTCTCTTTTTCTTTCTTCCAGCATTTCAGTGCTTTCTCTCTGTACTTCAGGTTTGTGGATCTCTGCCTCCATCTTTGTTTTCTCTTCTTTATCCAATAAAAAGCTGCTTTCTTTTTTAATTTTGTCATATTCTTCCTTTTCCCACTCTGCAGGAAATGTTTAAACATTATTTAAAATGCTTTAAAAAGACTATTTTGAAAATAATACGCTCTTTATGCATAGCGTGGCTTTCCTACTGCAAAAATAAATTCCTCAAAAATTACAACTAAATTCAAACCAGGTTCTCTGCTAAGATAGAAAAGTTTACTGTCATCTTCCAAATGGATTAGGACGTTATCCAAGTTTTAGAAATTTCAGAGGAATTTAATTTCTGCCAATTGCCTTCCCATTTCCTGGGTTTGAATGAAAATGAATACTACATCACTGATTTTAATAGTTCTGACTTTCACAGTGCTTTATTTTTCTTTGTCAGCACCACTGGCATTAGGACGGTTCTGGGATATATGTTTGGGTTTTTTTCCATAAATGGAACTACTCCTGTGAAGCTATCAGGCCACAAAGTCATAGGAGTCATTACTCATTTCACGTAGTGAATGATTTAAAAGATTCTGCTGCATACAGAAAATACCTTTACACAAGTGTTCTGTGCATCACCACGTGAACTCACTGACAGTGTCTGTGCAAATACCAAATGTCAGTTTGCACGGCTATGAAGGGACACCAAAGGTGCAAAACAGGAATAAACTTCTAGATAGAACCTGCAAATACTTATGTGTACAAGAAAAAAGAAACTTTTGAAATATTTCTCTTTTCAAAATATTTTTCTACCAAGACAACAGACATACGTTTGGCCAAAAGTTGAATATGACTACTTGGCCCCTTCAGCATACTGGTATTCCCCTTTGAACACTTTATTCAAATTTCTGACTGATGTTTTCACAAAGGTCCATGCTATCTGTTGTACTTCAGGTCAAGCTTACAGAAATAACTGCAACAGTTCAGTTAATATATTTAATATATATATTTTTTCAATAGCATAGCATTATACCAGGTTAAGTAAGGAGCTACCTTTCTGTATGTAAGGTAGGGAAAATATCAGCTTATACTGTAAGATGGGGAAGGTGGTCAAATCATCTTAGAGACATAACAGAGCAGATTCTTGGCTTATGTAAGTTGTGCACTGACAGAGCAGGTAGAAGATTTTACACAGAATTTACCTCTGAAAGCAGCTACAGATTTTTATTATTCTTCCTTGTCATCTAGTATAAGTGTTACTATTCATTAACTATAATCACTGAAAGAGTATTTTAACATGGCAGGATGCAGACCCTCTAATATACTTTAGATTAAGAGACTTACGAACGTAAGTCATTATGATGTGAAAATCAAATTAATAAAAAGCAATATTAAAATACAACGTTAGAAACTCACATTTCTTAAATAGCCACACCAAATGATTCGGATAACCACAAGTGGAGAGAAACTACAATTTCAAATTATACAAGTGAAGTAGATATGTACTGAAAAAGCAGGCCATATTAAAGAAAGCAGATTTGTTCTACAATAGTAAAAATCTACTGCCTGCCTCAATAACATCTAGCAAGTCAGAGATAACATCAGCAGTTACCTGCTATGCCATCCTTGTTTTGTAAAGTAAAATCTCTCAGGCTTCAATATTTTTTGCGGACAGCATTTTTTTGCTGCTGCATACTTAATCACAGCTGAGTACAGGGCACAGATTATGCTACATCCCATATTTCTTTCCGATTCTCTTTGCATAGCATAACTGAAAATAATTTTCCACTGTAGTGATATCTGCAAAATCATTTTGCTCTTCTCACAAGAAACTAGCAGCCTCACTTGATTAGTATTCCACAGTGTATTTTCCAGCCTTCAGCTGCCTGTTTCCTTACCGTCATGTAGTTTTTGAACCCTCTCCTCTAGAGCCTGTATTTCCTGAAAACATTTCAGTTTCTCTTCCCTTTCCCTGTCTTGGTCTTGCCTTAGGAGGTCTGCTTGCTCTTTCCATCCTTTGTCTTGAGTTTCCTTTTCCTGAAATAAATGAACACAAAACTGAAACTGATGGGGGAAACTAATCAATAAAACAAGCAAACAAAATCGTATGAACTTCTACGTCATTCTGAAATCACATTCTTACCGCTAAACATAAAAATGAAGAAGTCATCTAAACCAAACCAGCTTTGACCACCCAGGGGTTTGGCCTTAAAATCTTATCACCTCTAACATAGTTCTATGCACCTGAAACAAAATGAATAAACAATCACTCTGTTCTGTATTACACCTTTCAGGAAAGTCACAGCTCCAATGTCATATAGCAAAATTATCACTGTGTCAGGGTAGTTCTCTTCAGAAGTTGTCTTTTTCAAGGGCTTTAATAGAAGGCCAGAGCCACCACCTTAATTTTTTAACAAGCAAGCAATTAGTTACCCTCTATTTCCACAATCTGATCTTTTTACTCAAGTGAGTGGGTTGTAGATTCAGACAATTTCACAGTGGTACTTAAAGTTATGGAGTATTAAGTAACAAACA